GTGCGGTGCTGGAGATGGAACCCAGGTCCTTGGCCATGCTAGACAAGTGTTCTGTCACTGAGCAGCACCCCAGCCCGATCACTGACCAAATGTCGGTTTCATTCTCCTTATCACTTTCGGTGAGCCATAAGCATTATGGCTTTTGTGAGTTAGTAATTTCAGCTTACCTCAGGGCAGAATGTCCTGGCTCAACTGCAAGTAGAGCTCTTGAGTCAAAATTGGATAGTTGTGTCTCTTTGAAAAGAGTATGTCTACCATTCAGCACAACAAATATTTTAGGTTAACTAGGGGGCATGTACTGTTTGTGGCAAAGAACGATTACGTGACCCAAGTTAGTTTTCATTCTATGCTAATCTCTATTTTCATGCCTTGAATTTGCCCTGAGTATAATTTCTCTGAGTCTCAAATCAATCTGAGAGAGTAACTGAGTGCTTTCCTCCTTAATTAATATGATACAAAACAGAATTATTTGCCAGGTGCTGTGGTGTACACCTGTAGTTCCAGCAATTCAGGAGGTGGAGGCAGGAGGATGGGAAACAAAGCAAGATTCCGTATCTTTAAAAAAGCAAAACAAAACCGAATAGATTTATGAGCAGCTAAAGTTTATATTTTGTACCAGTAATTTAAGCTTTGTCCTATGTTCTTCTTCTGCTTCTTCTTTGTAAGGATTTTTCTGTATTTTGTAGATGACCACTAAGTACTCACTCCTGCCAAAATAAACAGATAAACCTGAAAATCAATCAGATGTCTGGTTCTGAGCCGAGCGAGGCGGGGCTCTATGAAACCCTGTGGGGTTAATATACAGACTGGGCCTAGGTAGAGAAATCAGTAGGTGCTCTGCCTCCTTCCTCGTGGGCAAAGAGGAGCTGGGCATCAGTGCAAGGAGCTGGTTGCTGCAATTGAAGAAAGAGTGGCACCTTTGGTGCGAATGACCCAGATGTCCACCATGCTGCGAGATTCATGAGATTAACAGCCTCTGCGCGCCCGGCCACTCCACCCGAGGAGCAGCTCTGTCTGCCCAGGCTCCTGCCTGCTGTGGCTCCTGCACGCTGTTTGTTCCCTTTCCTTTTCGCATCCAGAGCTCCTCCAGCAACCCCAAGTAACCCCGCGCCGGCTCAGGAGTCATTTCCACCAGGAGAAATTGGCAGGACGCGAGGAAAGCTTCCAAAGCCCAGGCGGAATGTGCCTCCCGCTTTTAGTGCCAGACCTAGTCCTGTGTGAATTCTGTAATTGTGAGTTGTTGCACCAGAGCGTTGAGAGATGATGACACACTTGTCCTTGGAGCTGATTGAGCAACGGAAATAGGCCTCAGAGACATGGTAAGTGCTGCAATCGGCAAGCCTTCGAAACGGAGTCCCTCCCGGGATGGAGTGAGTGGTAGATCACGCACCATGCCCACCGGGGCTGCCTGAGCTGAGCTGCAGGAGCTCAGGGAGCAGGGGAAATGGTGGAGTCAAGGGCCGCAGTTTTCACCTAGCACCCCAGCCAAGGTGCTGAGTGCAAATGTCGTGCAGGTTAAGCCACACAGTGTTTGCAAAAACAGATCGCAAGCCCTGTGTGTGTGGAGTGCATGGTTTCAGCCCGGTGCAGTGCCAGACCCTTGAGGATGGACTAGAAGGCTCCGACAGAGTATCCTAAATTGGAAGCCTTTTCCAGAATATGGAAAAACAGAAACAGAAGTTGTCTTCTTTGCCCTGAAACAATGGCAGGATTATTTGAGTAAAGTGAGGCGTCTGTGTGACCTCTTGTGAATGTTTCAACAAGGAAATTATCAAGCTGAGAGAAAGCATCTTTATGTGTGATTTTTTTTCTTTTAAGTAATTTTTTCCAAGTTTGATCCCTGGTACCAAAAAAAAAAAGTATTTTTTTTTTAAGGTGGAGAAATTACCTCTCACTCACACTAACATTTGTCTCTGAAGAAACTGACTTGCCAAAAATTGAAATCATTCGAGGGGCTTAAATGATGTTACATTTTTCATCAGTTACATCAGTTACATTTTTCTTCTCAGAACACCAAAGAACTGTCTTGGATAATAACGCTCTCTCTATATGATAAAGTGGAAGTCGAGGAAAGATTCATGTCATTCACCTGGCTCTGAATTTCATAACCTCCCATGGAGTAACAGTTCAGAGTACTGGAGGTGCAGCTCAGTGGTAGGGTGCTTGTCTAGCATGCACAGAGGCCTGGGTTGGAGCCCCAGCACTGCAAAGAGTAAATATATGTATGTGACGCTTAACACTTTTTTCTACTTTTATCATTTATTTCTGATTGAAATGTTAAAACTTCTGTCTTGAACTCTAGGAGTTAGTAGATTTAGTATATTCAGACTCTGAGATCTTGCTATTTTTCCAAATATTGTCATGTCTCATGTACTTTCCCCTAAAACAATGAATTCCAGTGTAAGAAATACTGGAAAGAAGTGTTGCTTATATTAGATGCTTACAAGAAAACACAGGATTGCCTTTAATCTTATTACAACCAGTACTGAAAGCTGTTGACAGCAGTTAGCACTTTAAATTGATATTGAAAGCACTGACATAAAGCATGAGTCTTCAAACAAAAAACAACTTTTATCCCTCTGATAGAGGTTGCCGTTGAACACTGTTTTGTGAGCATTCTCACTTAAACCTTTGACCCAGGGAAATCCCAAATTCAGCAGGGCTTTTCATTAGGTGTGAACTCCTGGGTGAAAGAAATGTGACTGGAGTTCCTTTCTTCCTTGTCTTAGGTTACTAAGCACTGACACACAGTGTCTGTTGTTTTAGCTTCTTGAAAGCAGGCACGAGAGGTTGTCCAATAACCGCCCCCCCCAACTAGTGTGGAGCATCTGTGAAAATATGTGTGACAGTGAGTTGGACTTGTTTGAATGGAACTAAGTTTCTGTCAACTCAGTCTGCCAGGTCATCGCCCACACACACACGCACACACACACACACCCTGCAGTTTTACACCTGTAACTAATTTAGACACAGAAATTGCATGTGTACCCGATAGCAATGGTAATCCAACTTGCACAATCTCAGAATTAAGATCACATGGCCAGGCCAGGGATTTAGTTCAGTGGTTTCACCGCCTGCTGCGCAAGCGCAAAGACCCAAGTTCAATCCCCGGTACCAAAACAAAAACAAAAGATCACATGGCCATTTGAGTACACAGTGTCTTAGAACCATGTAATTTTTATTTGAACAAGAGATTGCCACCACAGGACCCAGGTTCCCACAGTGGCGAATGGCACTTGTGGTTAGCATTCGAGAGCAGATGTCACACCAGCGACTGTCAGGTGCCTGCTGGGACCCCTCCCTCCTCACCTCAGGCCCGGGCCCGAAGGTGGCCTCCAAGCTGCCCCTCTGAATGACTGGCAGAGAAACCACCTGAAAGCCTGTCTTTATGAGTCTTCTGGTTCCGAGCACCTACTGTCTGCGAGGCACTGCAATGGATGCCATGCCATCTAGATGCCTTGGCCTGCTGTCACAGCTCTATAACCTGGCTCCACCTTAGGCATTTTCCCTTCTTTTCCACCATATCCTAGAGTTTGGCCTGGTCTGCTCTATTCTGACTAAATTCCCCTGTCCAAGAGTAACCCACACTCCCTCTGGCCTCCAAGCCTGCTTCGACCTAATTGGCCTGCCTCTCTCAATTCCCCCACCTTCCTGAATCCTTCCTGTGATCCAAGGTCAGCTCAAGTTCCCTTGCTCCAGAAGCACTGTCTGAATACACTACTGCTCGTTGTAATCTGAACATGTGCTCAGACATTTTCCCTCTCCCACCTCCCCGGTGCCACTGGTCTGACCCTCGAGGCTCTCTTGCCCAGGTACCACAGATCTGTCATTCACTCCCAACTCTGCTGTCAGTCTGTCTTAAAGTCAGGTCTGTTCCGCTGCTCAGAGTCTCGCCCTGACTCCCTGTGTCACAGAACCCCAAATGGCCCTACGCACCCTGCCCCACCCAGCCGGCCTCTGTGATGTCCTGACCCTCTGTCCCTCTGTCCATCCCCTTCCTGATGCTCCAGCCTTGCTGCCTCCTGCCAGTCCCTAGCACCAGGCCCACCCTGCTTGGTGCCTCTCCTCTAGCTTCTTCCTGTCTGTGGTCCTCTTGGCCTGACCTCTGCTCGGCCCCTGCACACTGATGCTCAGAGCTCACTTCCAGGGAGAACTTCATGGCCACCTCATTGGATTAACTGCCTCCCTGATGCACGTCCCTCCCCTATGATTTCCTGATGGTTGTGGTCATGGCTCAGGGTCTGCTGCATCCCATGAATGACCACGGCATTGACCTGGGAAGCAGAATAGTAAACCCTCCGACACAGATGTTCTCCACCACACCATGTAGCTCTAATCACAGGCCGTCTGCTTTCATGGTCAGCCCTGTTTTGTAATCAAAGGGAGAGGCTGTGTTCGCCTCTCCATCCCTAACACAGATCCTATATCCGGCCACAGAGTGGGGACCTAAAGTTCTCAAGATTCCTTCATCCAAGCCAGTATCTTGCACCTCAGCAAGCCCCGGAGAGCAGGGGCTGGAATACGTTTACTAAATAAAGACAGAGTTTAGAATAGATCAGATATTATTCTAAAACCAAAATATTTTTCTAAAACCAGTGCCAATATAAAGAAACCATCTATCTTGTGTACGCTGCAAACCAGGTACAAATATGTTTTGAATGATCAGTCACTGAGAGTTATTTGCCCTATGTCTATCCCTATTACAAATATTACTTATCTATGAATTATCCAAATTCCTGAGTTCTGTACATCTATTTACCTTTTGATACTTTTGGTATTCATTTGAACCTCCAAAAGACTTACTGGCTAGCAGTACTAAAAAAAGCAAAGTAGCTTGTTTGATTAAGTGACTAATAGCCAATTCATAGAGCACTAGCAGATATTCTCTCTTCTCACCCTTAAAAAAGAAGTTGGCACTTTGGAATCATATAAATTTTCATTATCTGGGCTATCTAAAGTTTTTGATTTCTGTGGTTAAGTTGGACATACTGCCTATTTTCTTACAATCCTTTCATTAGTATTTGAGCTTCATCCCTTCTCGACCTTTTGGCTAAGATCAAGTGTAGTATTTGAGCTTCAGAGTATTTATATATCATCTGATACTTTTTTTGTTTGTTTTTTGAGACATGGTCTTGCCACATGGTTTGCGCTGGCCTGGAACTCACCCGTGCAGCCTAGGCTGGTCTCAGATTCACTGCAGTCCTCCTGCCTCAGCCTCTGGGATCAGAGGTGTGTGCCACACAGCCTGGCTCATATCATTGATCATAGTACTTATTTGTTCCTTAAGATAAAACGTGAACCCTTTGAATTTTTATCTGTCCCATATCAACTTATTGGAGGGCCCTAGTTGGAAATGTATTTGGCCTTTATTGTGCATGAAGCCAATTAGAAAAAGAGACAGCATGTTGGGGCTGGTTTTAATACCACTTTAGAAGTTCTGAATCGAACAGACCTTAAACAAATACTCTGGAATTCCTAGTCCTTTTAACACAACTGGAAGGGTTCATTCAAGTCATCCACACCCGGACAAAGAACTGGAGCATAGCGGCATTCCAGAACCCTGTGGCTATCTTAATTTGTAACCCACAGATTCGATACCTGTTTTTGAATTTTATATAAAAATCGAATCATACATTGTTTACTCTTCTGTGTCCCATTCTGCCACTCACCTTAGGCGGTGAGATCAGTCACACTTCCCAGTAACTCATGCTGCTGTGCGGGGATGCGCGTGTGGCTGTGTAGTTTGTCCGGCTGCCTAAGGGCCTTTGGGGGCTCCCAGCAGTGCACAGGCTCCCCGGTCGTTCACGCACGGGTCTCCTGGTGAAAGCGCATGCGCATCGCTGGCCAGTAGATGCCGTGGGGTGTGTTCAGGTCTGGAAAAGTCGGCGCTGAGCGTCGTTGAACCAGTTTGCACTTGTACCAGCAGCGTGTGTGTAGGAGCACATCCATTTTCTGTACCTCTTTCCACCATTTGTGTTTTCTGTCTTTTATAGTCTAGCCATTCTGGTGGGTGTGTGGGAGTATCCGATTATGATTTTACTTGGTCAACCCACTTTAAAGCAGTAGCTGTCCATTTGGCTCTCTTTTCTCATAAAGCACCTGTTCAAGTCTTTGCCTACTCTTAAATTGGGTACTTTTAAAAGTTCTAAAGCATACATCGTCAGATAAATGTATTTGCAAGATCTTTTCTGTGTTGCTTTTTCATTCGCTGATAAACTAGTTTTGTGGTGGTGCATGCCTGTAGTTCCAGCACTCAAGAGGCTGAGACAGGAGAATCAAGCCTGAGCTACCCTGAACTACATAGTGAAACCCTATCTCC